TTGCACAAGAGCCGGCGTCCGGTGGGATGAGGATGCAGAGACTGACCAGGGTGGGTCATGGAGGATGAGGGCTGGGATTATTATTATCAAAATATTATAATATTTTGATATTATTACTGTGTTCCGGTGTAACAGCTCGGTTTCGTTAGGAGGGTGGCTGCTGCGAGGGCAGCACAAGGCTTCGCTGCCGATCCCGGGAAGTAGGAACTTCTAAATATTTCAATTTCAAAAGAAAACGCTGAGCTTTTTGGATTTTGTTTGCTGCTTCTGCAAATGTGAAGCTGCCCGATCCCGGGAATGGCGAGAGGGAAGCCGTGGTCTGCACAGCTCTTTCAGCTTGCTGGGTAACTTCACACGGGTTATCGGAGAGGATGAGCACAACATTTCTGGAAGAAAAACAAAGGGTCTTCCCAGGTTATTATCAGGGGACACAATCATTCCCATGGAGGAGCTTTAAATGCATCAAAGACTGTTTAGGTCCAAACCACAGAGACTGACAAACCACCAGAAATATGGCACGATTGCCTTGAGAAAACAGTTCCAGGACTTAGTGACGCCTTTTTGCTCATATTAGACACACGAACGGAGAGCGACGCGTTCATTTTTGCCACGGAACGGCGAGGCAGCGAGAGGGTAATTCCGTACAGCAAAGAGTTAGGAGAGGAGTGAGAACTGCAGTGCATGCAGGCGGGTGGTGTCCGTGTGCGTGTGCACACGTGTGTGTGTGTGTGTGTGTGTGCACATGCGTGTGCAGGCTCGTGAGAGTCTGTGTGTGTGTGTCGGGGCGCACGGAGGCATTTCGGAACAGCCTTAGGGATCTGCTGAGCACAGCAAACCGCCGCTGCCTTGTTCCCTGGGAAGGGTTTCCCTGCAGCCGGGCCATGGCGCGGGGTGTCCCGCTCTCCCGGCTGCCCCAGTACCACAATCTCCCGTATCCAAAGCCGTAAACGAGAGAAGTCCAAAGGCTTTTGCCCGGGGAGCGGCCCCGTGGCGCTCAGTCGCTGAGGACGGCTCCTGGCAGCTCGTTCGTTAGCGTGTGCCAGCGCTCGATTTTCTTGTCCTTGTTTTTCAGGCAGTCGAACCAGTGCTTCAGCCGCTCGCCTTTGGCGTTGATCCCCAGCACCACTCCACCTCGAGAAAGAGAGAGAGGGAGAGGTGGGGTTGAGCATCAGCCCTGCGAGGGATGCTGGAGAATGCCGGGGGATGCCAGGGGATGCCGGATGGAGCCAGGTCACACAGCCACTCTGACGGCATCCGATGCCACGGACCTGATGTGGCACATGGGCAATCACAGCCCGGCTTCCCCGGCCCCTCACGGCTGTGGTGTGGGATCTGCCCTGGGCAGCTTGTTCTCGTGCCAAGCACTGGGTGCTCGTTGCAATTGCAGCGGCTGTCAGAGATACTGGGCGCTCGTTAGCAATAAATCACAGCGACCAGTAACAGAATCACAACAGCCTAGATATCCAACAGAGATAAATGAAACCTCCTCATTAAGACTGTTTTTTTTATTCAGAAAAAAAGATCTGAAAGCAGAAGGGGAGAAGGAGACACATCTTCTCCCTGCCTGGGTGCTCCTTGCGTGGGGGATGTCCGAAGCACGGAGCAGCGGGGTCGGCTGCAGGAGGGGAGGCTCAGGCACAGGAGAGGGTAAAAGCAGAACAGAAATCCACCGAGAACTAACATGGGGATGGAGAACAAAGCAGGAGGCTGGAGAAGTGCAGAAGAGCAGCAGATGAAAAAAGAAGAGGCACAAAAGGTGAAGATTAAAAAAAAAAAACGGCTAAGGAGACCTTCTGGAGTGCCCCACTCACCTATGAAATCGTTTGATTTCCCGATATCGTAGTCCCACACTGTGACTTCCAAGGTCTTTTTTGCCAGGTCGCCGTGCTTTATCTCATAGCAAAACTCCTGTTGGGGAGTGGAGACCGAGTCAGGACGGACTCATGTTGGGTTCCCGCAGGGGTTGGGACCCCCAGGAGGGGGACAGGCTGTCCGTCCTCCTCAGGCTGTTGCCCTTTGCCACCCACGGGGACCTCGACCTCGATCCTCCACCTAATGACTGAGGTTGGGATTTTTTTTCCCTTTTAAGTCCAAGGACTGAGAAAAGCCCCTAGGAAAGAACCACAACCAGCAAAAACCCACCTCATTGAACTCGGGGTTCAGCGTCTTCTTCTTCACCGCCGTCTTATGCTTCGATTTCTTGTCCTCATCTGGTTTCAAGTAACTGCAACGAAAGCAACGCCGCACGGTCGCACGCAGCTCCTGCACCCCTCCTGGCTGGCACCTGTGGGACCAGCTCCTGAGCAGAGGCAGGGTGAGATGGGTGGCTGAGCCCCCTGGACCTGCAGCCCCCTCCTCCCGTGCCAAAACACTGGAGATGGCTGGAAGGAAGCAATGTTTCCCCATGTTGGTTGCTGGCTGCCATCACAGAGCACCAATTATCCCATCTCCATTCCCTGGGGGACACTGGCACCGCGCACACGCTCCCAGCTCCCAAAATCAAACGATCCCAGCCCAGAACCAGTCCAGACTTGGGACTGTGCGACTGGTCTGCTCATCCAGAGCCTTGCCAGAAACCACTTGCAGGCGCGTAAGGGGGAGCAGGAGCACAGCGCCTGCCGTGTCGTGCACCACTGTTTCCAGCAGATATTTTGCAGCGCAGCAGCGGGGCCAAAAAGCAAAACGACATTAAAGTGTCATCAAGCAGAGAGGGCACCTGAAATCTGGGCCAGGCCAAAGTCAATCCATCATCGCTTCGTGTCGGTGCTGCTCCCTTAAATATCAGTTCTGCTTCCTCGTTACACTTTCCAGAGCTTGCTCATAATTAAAAAATTAGGGCTTGTACTGAGAAGCATCACTTGTCTGTCTGCTCTGAGTCAAGCCCTGCAGACACAATCCCCTGCAGACAGCACAAGGGGCACCTACAGAACGGCTGGGTACAACAAAGGGAATTCCAGTACCGGGCACTGAGCCTCCCAGGAGCGTTTAAAAAAGCAAAGGTGGATTTTTATGCCATCACCTCCACTCCGAAAGAGCGATTAACCAGGAAGGTAGAAGTGTGCTGCCCATAAACTCCATTACTGGCCTCCCAGGTGCCAGGCGCGGTTTATCCCGGTGGCTTTGCCTTAACAATTATCATCCCCGAAAGTGCCAAAGTTTTGAGCCAATGTGCGGGGACAGGGATGCGGGATGTGCGTGGGGGGAGCTGCCGGCCCTTCCTCGCCATGTCCCCCTGCTTTGCAGAGAGCAAGTTTGAAAAATGCCATCCACCCAAAAACCAGGAGCTGCAGCGAAGGGCCCCACGCCAGCAAACCACCGTCTTCCTCAGCATCCCCTAATAGCCCTGGCTGACACCGACTTCCCTGAATCACTTGGGTGAGGGCGAGTCACAGCAGCCCATCACAGTCGTTTTAATTGCTCTGTTATTTTCTTTTTAAATGTTGCTGGTGTTTTTCAAAAGGAAGGCACTCCCAGTGTCAGCGGGACCTTAAATGTGCCTGTTAACCAGGCTCTGGAGCCACCGGAGCCACAGCTTGCGATTAAAATGCTGTCAGACCTAATTACACACATGTTGTAATTAGAGTCCTTCCAAAGTGTGGGGTGGTGGCCCCGCTGCCGGGCTGGGAGCGGGGCTGGGAGTGGGGCTGGGAGCCTCCTCTCCTTTGGGACCTGGGGAAGGGGGCAATTAATTGCCCGTCCCCTGCGGCTGGGAGCGGGGGATCCCTGCACCCCAGTGTCACCAGCCAGGAAGGCCAGACCTGACCCAGCAGCCATTCCCATCCCAGCAGGGACAGCACGGGCTTTGAGGAGTGAAAGGCTGTGGGTATCACCGGGAAGGAAAGCAAACGTGCCCATAGGTGCTGAGTGAGGTCCAGGACCGTTGGGCACAGGCACCGTCCTGCTCGGGGGATACCCATCGGGGGATACAACACGCTCCAGGCGAACGCAAGCTGCTGCCGTGACACCTTCATTTGCATCTCCTAATGAGATCAATTAATTTCCACTGCAGGGATAGGCAAGAGGGGACCACCCCGCTTCACTGAGGGCAGGCAGCGGCAGCATCTCACCCGACCCGGCCCCGCCACAGA